TAGTGTATGTATATGTTATGATCTATTTGATGTAGAACCTTGATATTTGGAATATAACTAGACACTTTGAATATGAATTCACCTATGACAAAAAAACTTATGTGGGCGTGGCACATCCGGGTTGAATTACTAATTGTTTACATTTCGGGGCTGGGGCATAAGTCGCATAGGATGCGTTTGTTCAAAAAGAGACTTTGCACACAATTACCTCATCCTTTTGGCCAGTATGTATTAACAGCTCAGTTGTTTCAGCTTCATAGTTTCAAAAAAGGAACGGGTTTTAACATTTGGATATTTTCATTTTTCGATTTTGACCTTTGTTGACTTTTGTTGACCTATATCTTTTGACCTCTATTATGTAGGAACTTGACATTTAGAACATAACGTAACATTTTGAATATTGATTACCTTATTCAAAAAAAATTGAGTTGGGCGTGGCACTTCCGGGTTAAATTACTCATTATTGACATTTTTGGCCAGGGGCATAACTCGCAAAGTATACATTTGTTCAAAATGGAACTTTTTACACAATTACCTCATATTTTGAGCCACTTTGTCTTAGAATTTCGGTTGTTTCCGCTTCATAGTTCAAAAAAAGGAACAGGTTTTGGAAATTCAAAATTTTCAATTTTTGACCTTGACCTTTGTTGACCTTGACCTTTGTAGGATCAAACGTCATTGGCGTTGGCTATCTATTTATACTTTTATATTTGCCGTCCTATGTCAACTTCCGGTTTTATAGTCGTTAGCAATTTGAAATTTTGATGGCGTATATCTCTTGATCTTGACCTTTTTAGACCTTCTCCTTTACAAGATCAAAGGTCATTGACCTTGGCTATCTGCTGATACTTTCATTTGTGAGGTCTGACGTCTACTTCCGGTATTAGAATCATCTAAAAAATGAAAATTTCTCAACTTTAGACCGTTCTTGCGCTCGATCTAATTATCGTGGAAGGTTGATTTTTTCAGGTTCTTTTGCATTTTGCTACATTTGCAAAGTCCCACTCTGTGCCACGAGTGGCTCTAGTTAATCTT